GATTGTGCAGAAATTAATCATAGTCATAATCACAATCATGATCATAATCACAGTCATAATCATAGTCGTAATCATAACCGCAATAATAATTAATAATAATTAATAATAATAATAACAATAATAATAATAATAATGATAATAATAATAATAATAATAATAATAAGTAATAACAATAATAACAATAATAATAATAATAATAGTAATAATAATAATAATAATAATAATAATAATAATAATAATAATAATAATAATAATAATAATAATAATAATAATAATAATAATAATAATAATAATAAATGATCTGTAGCTTAAAAACTTTTAGTTTGGAGGATTCTCTAGTAGTGTTTCGTCATTACTCTTCACTATCGCTTCTCTTGTGGCCACTTTTTATTGCTCTCTACTATCGCCTCCCCTTGTAATGAGTCTTTACTAAGAGCTAACGTAACAAAATATAAAATGAAATTTATGGTTGAAATTATGTCAGTTTCATCAAACGGTAGTATTACTCACGATTCAAATATAACAAGGGATAAAGAATCATAAAGAGGAAATCTCACTAAGGTCACACTCTCTTTCTCTCTACTTCCTCTTGCCTGGAACACCAAAGAAACACAAAATAAACTATGTCTATTATTTGTTAAACGAAGACTGATGGGTAAAGAATTTTAAAAAGACAGCTGTAAAAAAGGATTGACAAATACGTTATATGCTCTTTATCTTAAACATATTTTAGCATAACATTTTATCTCAATTATCTTAAAAATTATTTCACCTTATCAATTTTTGTCTTCATGCACTTACACACTTTTGATTTCTTTCCTTACAAAAAAACAACGAAAAAAACTTGAAACTCACAAAATCACCATCTTCAGCACCTGGTACAAGCACATTCATCTCAGATGATTTACTTGTTATTATTTCCGCATTTATTGCACTCTTACTAAGATACACCTGACAACCATCAGTTTTCTGGATGGATAATGTTGGCATCGAACCAAGGGTCTGCAAATACATTAAGAAAAATTATGCAACATTGATAATTCTGTCCTTAATTCTTAATTCTTAACCAATCTAATAAGATGTTAAAATTACGAAACATGCTTCTTTTTGGATCGTTCGAAATTATTTAGCATAGTACCATGCCATGTGAAGTTCCAGTAAAGCAGAGAGCACTATGAAATTCAAAATGCTCACCTGTATTTGCACGCTCTGACAATTAATCACTTCAAACTGAGATAAAAGACTATCGAATACAACAGATGTCTTCTTGCAGCTATCCAATGTTATTGAATTTACCTTTCCCTTGATCTAAAAATTCGATTTACAATGGATTTTGCTGAGAAAACAATTCATATCATCGATTCATGATTATAATTTACAATTTAACCTTCCGGTTATATCCATAACGGATTAGAAATTGATTAGAAATTAAAAACAAAAAAACAGCATATAATAGGTACACGTTAATTTAATATTATCCTAGCATATATGAGAAAAAAGAAGAAGGAAAAAGGATGTTCTTTGAGTACTTGTTACAACTATATTTCGCACCTCAATAAAATATCGATAAAACTTGAATAATGTGAAAAACCCAGACTAGTATATCTTACTAGAAAAATCAAACCAACTTGAATAACACTATTCTCGCATTTGAATACATACACTGTCTGCTTCATATCACTGACTTCGACCATCACACTGTTGTTATTTTTATAGTACTCCTCAAACATAATCCAAGTTTAGGGAACAGCTTACTTTTCTGAGGCTTCAATTTGCTTATTGGATTTTTAATCTTATTCCTCGCATATATATATATATATATATATATATATATATATATATATATAATAA